AACGACGGACTCATGGGCTACCGTTCATCAAGGAGAGTAAGTACCGTCCGCCTTGGAATGGTATAACTCTGGAGAATACTAAGTTTGCAGGCGTCGACGTGACAAAAAGCTACGGAAGATCAAAGAAAAACGGGCGAATCGAGAGATGGCCGAAAGGTAGTAAGAATCTTCGAGCACAGGCAATCAAGCTGATGATGTTGCGCAGCAGATCCCGTGGTCCACTTGAGCATCCCCATGTATCGAATGAAGCCTTTCTACCAGGTCCTCAACGTTCTCGAGGGCAGAACTTGGGCCAGCCAGGAGGACCATCGATATACAAGCCCCGCAGCCCCCCAATATTGGTAAACCCGACTGACCCGGCGAGGCAGACCAGCGTGGAGGAAATGAGACAGCGGTATCCCCAGCTTCTGACGCAGTATTTCAACAAGGACCGTGGTCTAGCCTTTCAGAAAACGGCTGCCTTGGCTGTGTCGCAGAATGTTAATGCACATGGATTTCTGCCCCCTTTCGAAGGCGTAGGGAATGCACCTAGTAAGAACAGGAGTGCACCAACGGACATGACCGAAGGTGGAATGTATCTACTCAGCGGAAAGATGTCGAACTCGAAGCAGCATGATGGTCCCGGACAAAGAGGCAAAGAGGCCCCTGGACCAGCCAGGCAAGCTGGAAAGCCGTGATCGAGTCGGGTAGAGCGAGGTCCCCGCGGCGTCCACATATACGATTCTTTCTGGAACAGATGAATGGGGTGAGATTACCACCAGCGATCAGCGGTGAGTCCTAGGAGCAGGGTTCGAAGGGCATTGGGGAAAGCAGTTGGAGATATGGCCGTATGGCATCATTGTATTACATGTATTTAAGGGTACACCTTGTCCCACAGAGTCGGACCCTTACGGTTGGAGTTATATCTTAGAATGAGGGATAGTGTTAGTATGGTATCACTGGAAAAAGGTTATTTTCACAAGTCTTTGAGCATGAAGATCAGTCTACTTGTGCTGTTGCAGCGAACCCCCCAGGGGATGGTTAGATAGCAGATGCAGTCGGACCTGGGTTACTGGTAAAACCGTTTGGAGTGGTATTGATCGATCGGTAGCGATCAAGAGAACTTGGCTTCAACCCACCTTCTCCAGGCCAAGATAGTAGTCAATAGTTTCATTGCTGGAGAATCAGGTGTGCGATGGGAAAGACAGAGTCGATCGTTACTCTATAGTTGAGGAGGCCAGAGCTCCCCTTGCGTGGATGATGGATTCCCCCACATCCAGCATCCGTCGCCTGACTGGTTGGTCCTCCGCCACACACCCCGCAAAAAAGATGTGAGGTCGCATCTCGTATTCTTGGGTTTGACTAGGAAGAGAGCAGGTGGATGAAGATAGTAGACAAGTGACCAGCAGGATGTGTGAATGGTATAGAAAGTGTAGGAGTGTGTCTGTGGGTGGGTGGTGATGATACTGTAAAAGTATGTATGTAATAGGAAAACACTAATAAGAATATAAATGGAGTAGCATTAAAAATAAAGGGCACCGCAATAATAGCAGCGGCGATAATGGCTGTGTTTTTTTTCGTTCCATGTTTTGTAAATGACCCACGGTGAGGGAGGAGGCAAGTGGGCAAGTTTCGGGGAGGAGGGCCGGAGTGCCTGATGGTCCTATCAGATGTGCTGGCAGGCCCATGGGGGATGGCGAGTCATCCATGGGAAGTTCAAAGCTGAATCGAACAAGTCCAGAATGTGGCAACTGGTTAAGGCACCGGCCAATCTGCTAACTCTAAGAGCGCTGGCTGGCTGGCTGGCTTTGTGTGGTGAGCCAGATCGGATCTAAGATAACTTACTTAGTCGAGTAAGTACTACGGAGTAGGTAGTTAACTACTATACTGATTAGTTAGTTAGTTACAAAGAGGAAGATGGCATTTAAGGGACGAGCTGAATGGTAGACGATACTAAGTACTTACAGTATACCACAAGTAATAGTTACTGTTTGACATCGGATATGCATACCGATTACATACCGAGTCAGGAAAGGATAGAAGGTATCTGGGCTGGGCTGGGTTGAAAGAAATGATTGCTGTGCTGATAGCAAGATGGATACGACAACCCGATACTACGGTGATAAGTGAAGTGACCCGACATTTTTTATCTATCGGGCTTTATCGGCTCCCCTTTTACTTTCACTTTAGTATTCCTTACTATTTACTCAGACAGTTTAGTGCAAATGGTTAGTGACGGTGAGAAAAACTAACTAGTGACCGTACTATACCCGGTATGGAGGCGTATGATGTATCATGCCGGGACAGCGTGACTAAGCCCAGGCTGTGCCATTCCAACTTTCCCTCCACGTCTCCACTCCGTCTCCGGCCCTTTCGCTTTCTCTCTCTCTCTTCTTGTCTTCTTTCTCTTCCCCTGCTGTTTCTTTTCTTTGAAAGCCCGTCTTTGGCCCGGGGATTCTTCAATTCTTCAGCTTCTGTTTCTTCTTCGGTGATTCCTTTGCGACCTCTGCGAACGCTGCGTTCTTCCCCGCCCGCGATCTAGCCGAGGTGTTGTCCCCCCATTCACAGCCAACCCCCATCGTTCCCGGGCTGGAAGTGCCTCTAAATCCAAGTTTCTGGTGCGAACTAGCACCACCGCCTACCAGTTTCCCCCCGCGGCTTCTGGCCCGTTACTGGGGCCCCTTCCCTCCCGTCGCAATTATTATCTCTCATCGCCTACTTGCCCCGTTCGTTATCACCAAACTCAACTTGAGTACCTGGCCACCTTCCTGGATTCAATCCAGGCAGTCACCGGCATGACACAACTTTTCGCCTCCAGTCCGTCCTCCGTGACGAACGAGAAACGCGGGAACTTTCCCAGTCTCTCTCTGGCCTCCAAGAAGCATTCCAACGATTCGAGCCACTTCCCCACGAGGATCAAGAATTTCTTTCGCATCAACAGTTCCAGCAGCAATTCTTCCCATGCCAGCCACCATAACAATGAATCGCGTGATCGCGATGGCAATACCTCCCCACCCGCAAAGTCTGATGCCAAATCCGGCTTTAGGCAATCCCGGTTCCTTCCCACTATCGGCCGAAATCGCTCAACCACCGTTGCCAGTGAAGGCAATCCGCTAGACGAAGGCGTCTCCCCGACCGCAACGGCCAATCCATACTTTGTCCATCAGGGCCAGCCTTCGTTGCAGCATCGGAACGATGGCTCGGTGCCGTCGTCCCCTCCCGATACCCCCGAATTGCAGGTGGACGGTGTCTCTGCTGCCGAGCAGGCGACTACTGCCAACAAGGTTGAGTTGGCTCGTAAGCTGCGCCGTGTTGCTTCGGCTCCGAATGCGCAGGGTCTGTTTGCCCGGGGCGAGTCTGACGAACGTCCTCAGACGGCTGAGACTGGAAAGGAACTTCTGGAGCCGTCCGGGGCGGAAGATCCACAAGTCACTACGGTGGAGGTGGCGTCCGACAAAGATGTGAATCTTGCCGTGCCCAAACTTGGTCCCCACAGTAAGATTCCTACTCCCGGCCAGATTCGGGATTCGGTTGCCTTCCGCAGGACGTATAGTTCCAACTCGATCAAGGTGCGCAATGTGGAGGTAGGACCGGGGAGCTTTGATAAGATCAAGTTAATCGGTAAGGGTGATGTGGGCAAGGTGTATCTTGTCCGGGAGAAGAAGTCGAGCCGGCTCTATGCTATGAAGGGTGAGTTTATGTCTGCAGCCTTGTCTATCGGCGAAGTGTGCTGACTTGACTAGTACTGAGCAAGAAGGAGATGATCAAGCGGAACAAGATTAAGCGGGCATTGGCCGAGCAGGAAATTCTTGCTACCAGCAACCATCCATTCATTGTTACACTCTACCACTCCTTCCAGTCCGAGGACTATCTCTATCTATGCATGGAGTACTGCAGTGGTGGCGAATTCTTCAGAGGTGTGTTAGACGTTCGATATGTACCGGCTGTCGCTGACTCTACCAGCTCTTCAAACCCGCCCAGGAAAGTGCATCTCCGAAGATGCTGCGCGATTCTATGCCGCAGAAGTTACTGCTGCTCTAGAGTATCTCCATCTCATGGGGTTCATCTACCGTGATCTGAAGCCCGAAAGTATGTACTGTAATAGTCAAAGTTGTTGATTTACGCTGACTATGTTTTTCTAGACATTCTCCTTCACCAGTCTGGCCACATTATGCTGTCTGACTTTGATTTGTCGAAGCAATCCGGACCGGGCGGTGCACCTACAATGATCCCGGCGCGGAGTGGCAACTCCACGACGTCTCTACCGACGATTGATACCAAGTCATGCATTGCTGACTTCAGGACCAACTCGTTTGTCGGTACGGAAGAATACATTGCACCCGAAGTCATCAAGGGCTGTGGACACACTAGCGCAGTCGATTGGTGGACGCTTGGTATTTTGATCTACGAGATGCTGTACGGCACGACGCCATTCAAGGGCAAGAATAGGAATGCTACTTTCGGCAACATCCTGCGGGATGAGGTGCAATTCCCCGAGCATGCAGCGGCCCAGCCAACCTCCAAGTAAGCTCTCTCGGTCTGCTTTTGTCACACAGTTGCTAACATTCACAGCCTCTGCAAATCATTAATTCGTAAACTGCTCATCAAGGATGAGACCAAGCGCCTTGGAGCTCGAGCCGGCGCTTCGGACGTCAAGACCCATCCCTTCTTCCGGCAGACGCAGTGGGCGCTTATCCGGCATATGAAGCCGCCAATGATCCCTCACCAGAGCCGTGGTACGGATACTCTCAACTTCCGCAATGTCAAGGAGAGCGCGAGTGTCGATATCGGTGGACCCAGCACGACCAAGATGAAGGGTGTACCGATGGATTCGGGACTTGCGACGCCAAATGGCGAGATAGCCGATCCGTTTGAGGAGTTCAACAGTGTCACCCTTCATCATGACGGGGACATGTGAATGGGCCCGATTGTCACCAACATGCTTTCTACCTGCCCAAGCATACGCTTTGCTAGAGGCTTATTTTACGACTATGATGCATGAAAGATCTCTACACGGAGTTCACCATCTTACAGCTATTACCTGGAGTATCGGAAGTTTGACGTTGGGAGTTTGCTTTTCTTTTTCTTATACACAGGGTGGTTATCGATATATGCTGATATCCAATGACTGCGTCCCCTCATGCATGGGCTAATATTCGGCTGTCACTTTATGGTTTGATGCGGCAGCGATGTAACAGTTTGACTGTTTTTGTTTCTATCACAGTTATTGCAGCAGACGGCGTTAGCGATTTCGGTTGTACCTTAGCAAACAGATCTTTGAGCAAAACATTGGTGTGGGCTGACTTGTTCACACCAGGACGGTTTTGGTCGGGGAAGCTTTCTGTTCTTTATTCTGTATTTGTGGGCGACTTATTGATGCTTGGATGTCCGATGGGACAGGCCCGGTGCCTTATGGACATGATTACGTTTATGAAATTATATGTATTTTCTAGACTCTACAGACCGCTCTGTAAATGTTTTCCTGATAATAGATTCTGAACTAGATACTGGTAGTTGATCGAATGAGACACGACGGAAATCCATCCGCCGCGACCCAAACAAACCAAACCAGATCCATAACATACCTACTTTCAACATACACCACCAAACAACGCACCTCCCACCAACTCAACAACCCCCAACACACACGGACACGAGACAGAGCAAAAAAAAAGAACAAGAATACAGTACCAAAGAATAAACACCATCAAAATGTCCTCCCCACCCGACTCCCACAACCACACCCCCCTCCACGACCAAGACCCCTCCCCCTCCTCCGCGCCAGACTCAACCCCCAACAACAACAACCCTCTCCTCCGCACCACCAACCCGCTCGTCAGCTCCCTGGAACAAGAAGTCCTAGATGAGTATACTAGGCTATTGGGGAATGTGAATAGGGTGTGACCCCAATACTCCCCACCCATCCATCCATCCTACACTCAATCCAATCCTACTACTCCCAAACACGCGCTTTACACATCACTACACTACACGCATGTGCTAACTGGGAGATAAAAGTTATCAACCAAACTCTCCACACTCGCCGAATCACCCACGACCCTCACACTGGATGGCCTCCGCGGCCTAGAACGTCAAACTGCCACCGTCTGTACCCTGCTCAAGGCGAGCGTGTATAGTATTGTTCTCCAACAGCAGATTTTTAATGAGAGTGAGGAACAACAACAACAGATGCAGATGCAGCAGGAGATGGAGGGGGAGGGGGATGGGTATTCGGGGATGATGGGGCAGGGGGGTGAAGGAGGGGAGTATGGGTATGGGTATGGGGATGGAGGAGGGTATGGAGGGTATGGAGTTGAGGGGGAGAGTTTTGGGAGGTATTAAATGATTCTCCTTGCAGGGGGGATGGGATATGGTGGTGGTGGTGGGTGGATTGCATGGTCTGGGTTGGGTTAAATGGGTTGAGCTATGGGTGGTGTTTTGATAGATGTGATTGATTGATATATGATATACCCCGTTTTGTATGTTCTAGATTTTACTTTTCAATTGTTGATTTGTTGATGGGTTGATTGAGTATTGCTTGATGCTGGATACAAATACATATTTAGACTGTAATACAAGATTGAACAGAATAGAAAAAAGGAAAGGAAAACATTATATACACCGCCCATGACGCAAATGAACATGTCTGCTGTCTGTATGCAGTGTTGTGTTCAGAGAGAGATATATCTTTCAAATCCAAATCTCAAGCTGTTCGCCGCTCACGACGGCTTAGAACGCCCTTGCCAGAGTAGTACACTCCCCGTACATCAACCATCTTCTTACCCCGCGCACGGGCAATATCCTCGGGGTTGCGCTGGCTCATGAGCGCCTCGTAGGCGGCCTTGACTGTGTTCATGGGGTTTCTGGACCGGTTGACCCGGGCGGCGATATCGTGAATACCGGCCGCGCGGCACATTTCGAAGATCAGGTGCTGGCAGCGGAGACCGAAACCTGTGGAAAATATCAAATGTTAGCACTGAGCTAATAGTTCAATATAGCGGACATCGTACCTGGGGGACGGTGCATCAACTTCAACTCCACAGCTCCGACCTTGCCCTCGACGTCACCGAAGATGGTTCGCTTCTCGTAGCGTGGAACAGGTTGCATGTTCTTTACAGCACGAGCGCGAGCTTGTTGGCAGGCATCGACGATTTCATCGGACTTGGCAATTCCAATTCCCATGAGACCATTCTGATTACCGGCGACCGTGACGACGGACATACTCGGGACCTTACCCAGTCGAGTCTGGTTGCTGACACGGCGAATAACGAGGTCCTTGATGTACAGGGACTTGATGTACTCTCTACCGTAGCCCGTGACCTGGAAAAGTCTCTTCTCCGCCTCGTTGGGTTCTTCGGGGTTCAGATATGTGAGCTCTCCAAATCTGGTCCGGTATTGCGGCCTCGGAACTATCTCGTCACCCATGTGTTCCAAGGTTTCTCCGTCTTTCAAGAAATTGGGCGAGAGCGCGCTGTGTCCGTTGAGCTCGTGCTCCTCCTTGCCGTGGGTCACCCGGTTGGTCTCGAGGAATCGTACGAAGTCTGCCGGCTGGGGGTCCTCCGATGATTCGGCAAAGAAGCGGGCGAAGTCTTCCATGAAATCATCCTCGGTCTTGAATGTCGCGTTGTAGTCGGAGTTGGTCTTGGGGGCGCGAACGTGCTTGTCGACGCCGGGCTCAATGACCGAAAAATCATCGAGATACTTCAACCTCATGGGATCCCGACGGAGACGGAACTGTTCAGCCAGGTCTTTCGGGTCAATGGTCTTCTCACCGGCCTCAATGGCGGCGATCTGTTCGGGCGTGTAATGTTCCCGGAGGGCGGCCTTTTCCTCCTCGGTGTAGTGCTTGAAGTCGTCAAGCTTCACCTCCCGGTAGATTTCATCCAGAGTCTTTCCCTCGGGGGCCTTGTTGACTTCAGGGACCTTCGGTTTCCGATCGGAGAGCTGTATCGACGACAGGTGGAACTGGCGACTAGGCACGCGAGGGCCGGCGGAGGCCGCACGCGAGAAGCTGCAGAAGAGGCATCGGGCCGGACGTGCGAGACTCATGATGGAGCGGATGGAGAGCTCTCTGGCCAGCAGAGGCCACTTGAGAGCAAATAATCCGGGGTTGGTGGAGAAGGGGGGAGTAAAAGAGGTGATGGACGGGGAAGTTCAAGACGGCGAAGGGAAGGACATTGAAGTTCGAGTGAAATTCTCAGCGGGTCAACTCCAGCCAATCCCCGCCCGCCTTTTCCTGCTCACTCACTTTTTCCTTTTCCTCCATCACCCCAACTTTCTTTTCTTCCTCCTACTTTCAACTTTCTCAATCCCTCCATTTTCTGATCAACTGGTTCGGGATTTATATATGTTTGCCTTGCGATCCTTGCGATCATACAATCTTCGAAAACTCCCAACCAGTGTCCCTCGACAGGTCCAACGGTTGGCCCTCTTCCATCAATCTGCTTGCCCGCGCAATGCGCAATTAGCCTTCAATCCTCCCACCATGCAGAATTCCCCCAAGAAACCCGACACCGTCGCAAAGCGGCGCAAGAGAGTCAAAGCTCCCCGCGATAACAAGAGCAGCGGCTTCGATGAGGTCCTCCAGGCCGATATTGATCAGCTTCTCCGCAGACACAAGCCCGAAACCGAGCTCGAGACAGAAGAAGCTTCTACACCCCCGCAACCCACCCTTCCCGAGCCTTTCACCGAAATTGAAGTCCAGGTCGCCGAAATTTCATCAACTGGTGATGGTCTCGCATTGTCCGAGAGCCAGGATCATGTCTACGTTGTTCCTTTCACAGTCCCCGGCGACAAGGTGCTGGTCAAGGTGGTGCGGCACTTCCCCTCCCTGTCCTACAGCATGACAGATTTTATCAAGGTTATTGAGCCTGGCCCCAAGCGCAACGATGCCGGCATTGGTTGCCAGTATTTTGGACGGTGCTCCGGATGCCAGCTGCAAATGATGTCGTATGAAGACCAACTCGCGCACAAGAAGCGCATTGTGGAGAAGGCCTACGCCAACTTCTCTGGCTTGATTCCAGAACTGATTCCTGCCATCGACGAAACTTTCCCATCTCCGCTGCAATACGGTTACCGGACGAAGCTTACGCCGCACTTTGCAGCTCCTGGCGGAAACAAGAGGAGGGGCAAGGGACCCCGCGAGCCGCACAAGGAGGTGCCCCCGATTGGTTTCACTTTCAAGAACCGACGCATGGATTTGGATATTGAAGACTGCCCGTTGGGTACCGATATTGTCCGACAGGGATTGAAGAGCGAGCGCAAGCGTGTGGCCGAGACCATCGGCAAGTACACCAAGGGTGCCACTCTTCTTATGCGTGAGTCGACCACTCGCGTGCCGAAAGAGCAGGACAGCGAGAACCCTCCTGCGCCCATCAACAAGCCCGGACAGGATTCCGGCGACGTCATCCGCGTCGAAAAGGATACCTATATTGAAGAGAAGCGCTGCGTGACCGACTCGAACGCCACCAGCATTGAGTATGTCGACGACTACGTCTTCACCAACAAAGCCGGCGCATTCTTCCAGAACAACAACTCCATTCTCTCAGGGTTCACCGAGTTCATCCGCCAACACGCTATGCCCCCGAACAACGACCAAGACGCCAAACCCATCAAATACCTCCTGGATGCCTATTCCGGCTCCGGTCTTTTCACCATCACCCTCTCCCCGCTATTCAAGTCCAGTCTGGGCGTCGACGTCGCCGGCGACTCCATCGCCTCGGCACGGGACAACGCCCGCGACAACAAGCTCCCGAACACCGGTTTCGCCGCCGCAGACGCAGCCGTTCTCTTCAAGGACGTCCCCTACCCTCCTGACCAGACTCTGCTGGTCATTGACCCCCCGCGCAAGGGATGCAGTGACGACTTCCTCCGGCAGCTGCTGGCCTTTGGACCGCGCCGGGTGGTCTACGTCAGCTGCAACGTGCACACGCAGGCGCGCGATGTGGCTGTCATGGTGCAGGGCGATGCGGAGAAGAAGATCCGGTACGAGATCGAGAGCATTCGTGGATTCGACTTCTTCCCGCAGACGGGACATGTTGAGGGAGTGGCTATTCTGAACAAGACGAGTATACCCGAGTCTGCCTAGATTCATATATTTGATGGCGTTGGTGGTAAAAAGGGGACATGACTGATAGATTCGCGTACATACAATGAGCAAATACCATTTGCAGTTTGCAACTTTCTCTTCATCATCTATGCTCTACTATCACGCCCGTTCTTCTGATAACCCGCTACAGAACTAATCAACGGCACTCAGTCTACAGATCAGGATCGGCAATCTTCAAAACCGCCTTGCCCAAGTTCTCCCCACGCAGCATGGCAACAAACGCCTCGGGGCCATTCTCAATGCCAACAGTGATATCCTCCTTCGCATTGATACTGCCCTCCTGCAGCCACTACACGACATCATCAGCAGTCATCCTCATACCTAGGAAGAGAATGATACACTCACAGCAGTAACCTTCTCATCCCTCTCCTTGATCCACTTAGGACCCATATCCTTATCCCCAACAATAAACCCACGCATGCGCAATCTCTTCGTGACAACATTATACAGATTCTTAACCCCATACCGCTCCTCCGGCTTGAGATTATACTGTGAGACCATTCCACAAGCCACTGCCATCCGATCCCATCCCATCATCAGTCAGCATATTTTCCCCAAACCCAACATCCAACATCTTAAGAAATAGAAGAAGAAGAAGAAAAAACTCACCAACCCTCCCCCCATTATTCATAACCTCCAACACAGCATCCAATTGCTCCCCACCCACATTCTCAAAATACACATCCACACCACTCCCCCCCTCACCACCAACCAACCTCCCCAACGCCTCCTTCGCCCCCTCAACCCTATAATCAAAACACTCATCAAACCCCAATTCCTCCACCACATACCTCCTCTTCCTCTCCCCCCCAGCACTCCCAATCACCCTACACCCAACCCTCTTCGCCAACTGTCCCACCACACTCCCCACCGCCCCAGCAGCACTACTCACAAAAACCGTCTCGCCCTTCTTCGGCTCCCCGATCTCAAACAGCCCCGCATACGCAGTCAACCCCGTCATACCCAGGATCCCTACATACTGGGATAACTCAATCCCAGATGGTAGTGGGGTCGGGATCTTCCGGATAGGGCTGTTCCCTCCGTCGAGGCTGTTTTCGAGCGTCCATAGCTGCTCTTCGGCTTCGCCGGTGGTAGGGGCAGGAGATGCAGATACAGCCAGCACGCTGTATTCCTGGATAGGCAGACGCGCGTAGATGATCTCGCCCGGTGCGAAGGATGCGTGCGTGGAATGCACCACTTGGGCTACGGCGTAGGCCGTGATGGGCGTGTTGAGGGGGTATGGTGGACTGTAGGATTTGATGTGGGCGGGGCGCATGCGCCCGCGCATGTAGGGGTCCAGGCTGGCGTAGAGGAGCTTGGTGAGGAGGGTGTTGGGGTCTGTGGGTGGGGTGGTGATGTCGAGGGGGCGGGGGAGGGGGGTTAGGTCTTTGTGGGGGGTGGGGAGGCCCGTGGGGATGTTGGTTAGGATTAGGGAGGTGTTGGGGTACATTTTGATGGAGGTTGTCCTTTTGGGTACGGTGTGAGTGATGGTGTATGGGTTTGGGGGGATTGGAATTGGGAGTTAGTTATGAGGTGAGTATCATGCTGGTATTTATACTGCTACTCACTTCTCTATTGTGGTATATGCGGGGGGTATGTATGGTGCGGCGTCTAGTCGGTTTAGAGTAGGTCTATGCTGCTCTAGTAGGGATTGCTGGATGCTGAATGGTGTGATTTCTAGTACTATACTAGTAGTAGTGTGCTACTGGTGCTTACTCCTGGGTTGTTGTTTCTGCTTAGAAATGCAAGTGGTCAAGTAGTGCTTAGAAATACGCTTGGCTTTTTCCTGATTTCTGAGGATGTAGCGGCATTTACCTCCGAGGTATGAGATAGTAGACGGTCTGAGGAAATGGAAAAGGCAGTCCTGAACATAGCAGAGTAACATACATTTAGTATATACAAGCAAGACAAAAAGATAACCGTCATCTATTTACTATCACCGGATATTGGCAGAAGCAGGAGCATATCAAGTTAAACTATAGACAGAACCACATATTTACGAACTGCCAGGACCTCCCAACAGCGCAAAGCGGCGCACGATACTAGGACCAATCTCATCGTACTCTGCCTTGGTGTGGCAGTAACTGCGGAACTCCGGCGTCTGTCCCAGCAAGCTACCTCCGAACCACGGTCCGTGGCGCTGTCTCTTGTGTGTCACAACCGCCACGTCCAGTCCACCACTTCTGGCACCTCCGCTGCGCGCCTCCGACGCCCGAATGCGTGCATCCACCAGATGACGGATGTCACGCTGAAGACGCCGTCCAAAGTCCTTGTACAGCGTAGATCCACCGGACAACACAATGTTCTTGTAAAGACCCCTTCTCACATCGATGGGGGAAGACTGAATCACGCCGTCGACGACGTTAGGCAGGGGGGTCAAAAAGTCCGACGAATAGATCTCGGGGTTGAAGAAGATCTCCGGCGCCAGGAAACGTTCGTAGCCCACATCGATGCTCACGGTCCGGCCGTTGGGCGAAGTCACAGTATGCTTAAGCAGGCGGTCCGGCTCACGGTCGTAGCGGGCGAATTCCTTGACGATGTCGGGGCACACATAGCAGTACTCCTCCTTGACCTTCTCAGCCGTCTTCAAGCTGCTGTCCGGCTCACCGCGGTCACGGAGCAGGCTCTGGACAAAGTAGGTGATATCGCGACCGGCAATGGGTATACTCTTGATAGATGATCCGATGACGTAGCCTTCGGCAACGGGAATAACGTGTGTAACACCGTCACCGGAGTCGATGACGGTTCCGGTGAGAGAGCGGTCGGTCACCTTCGAGGAGGTCCACGAGGCAGCAAGGGCCAAGACGGCCTGGACGGCGATGTAGAGACCGGCACAGTTGAAAGACTCGAACATGATCTCGGCGGTGTTCTCACGGTTCTCGGGGGGGTTCAAGGGCTATGCACACAATATCCGGGTCAGCATCGCATCCGCCGAAGGGCAATTGGAGGAGTCGGAGGTCTTACCGGCTCGGTGAGGAGGAAGTAGTGGTCCTCCGGCTCGACGCGCAAGTACTTGAAGATGGAATTCGACCAGAACCGCTCCATGTGATCCCAGTTCTCGATCTGACCATGGCGAATGGGGTAGTTGATAGCATAACCGGGCCCGTTGGCCGCTGCCAGAGCTTCATCGCCAATGAAGAAGTCCAAGTCCTCTGTACCACGCTTCGCGGATAGATGGGAGCCTGCCCCACCACCGGTAGCTAGGAAGGAGGGTTTGTTCGCAACAGGAGGTCTACCGGCAGCGGAGGAGCCAGCGCCTCCGGCACCAGCTTTAGTCGCAATGGCGGTGGGAAAGACGAAAGAGGGCGAGTCGTTACCGGCGAAACCTGGAGACTTGTCAGCCTGGAGCTTGCCGGCGGAGCTCCACGTGGAAGCTATCAGGAGTCCTACCAAGCTTGGAATAACCGGTACCGCTGAGCAGAGAGAAGACGCGGGTTAGTGACCGCGCAAGGAAAGTGTGATTTGGGGATGGTGAAGGGCATACTTGTCCATGACAACGGCCGGAGTCTGGGAAGCCATGATTGATGATGTGGAGTACACGCACACTCCCCCTGATCAGTGGTTCGGACTGAGGTGGTAGATGGAAGAGGTGAAATTAGACGATTGAATGGGATTGCAGAAATGAGAGCGCAATCATCCAGAAACTCCGCCAGGAAGGGACGGGCGAGAAATATGACGAGAAGGGGATTGATTGGAGGGGAAGAGGAGGGGGGTAAAGGGACGGAGATGGAGATGAAGGCGGGCAGTCAGTTCAGGATGGATGGAATGCCTGGATGCCCTGCCTGGATACTGCGGCTGCCCCATACTTTACGGGTAACGACGTCACGTTTGGTATGGTACACCCACTTGCATCCACAATACACTGCAAATGTTATGATTTATTACCTTCAATTCCTCATGTAGATAGAATCTCACTCCTTTTGGTGATAACCTTAACTAGCAATGCATAGTCGGGAATTATACCGGTTCCTGTAGTGTACCTCTCATGTGACTATTTCCCATTGGGAGGTGAAATGGTTCTGTTCTCAAAGTTGAAATGTAGACTCCATCTTCATGATGTTCGTGGGAAAAAAGGAAACCCTCCTCAGGAAACCACATCCAATGCAATTGCTGAGGAAGGAACTTGATCCAATGATCCCATCTACATGTTTGGGCTTCACCATTCCCCTTCTTTTATACAATTGATACCTACCATATCCTTAAAACACCTCTAAACACTTCCACTACCTCAATTCCTAATCTTCTTCTCCTACCTCCCTATCTCCCTCCCTCCCGCTCCGCATCCTAGGGGATCATTTTTACTATATCCAACCTATCCTTAACGGTTATACTCACCGTTTCACCTCTGCGTTCACTACAATTACTCCGCTCGAAATCAGAAAATCACCAATCGCCCCGGCAGCAAGCTAGTATCAAGAGACCCGCGTCTTCCTCTGAACAGTCAATAATTTCTTTCGTGTGTTGACGAGTCTGCTTCTTCCTCTCTTCATTCCCTCTCACTGCTCTCTTCTACCATCTTCGTCCCAGTGTTGATAACAAACCCAACTCTGCAAGTCTACTTGTACCAAAACCACGGAGGGAACCTCAACAAGTGAGTTGCCGGGGCCTCCCGCCCTGAAGCACTCACGGCCTCCGAGACTGCGTCGTCTTCTCCAGTGCTTCTCCAGGTTGCACCTCTCAGTTCGCCTGAGAGCCCAGCAACTGGATTCTACAATGAGTCGCTCAAAAGGAGGTGGAGATATCTCTGCCATCTTCGTTCATGCGGGAGCCGGCTTTCATGCCCCGCACAACGAGAAAGCGCATCTAGAGACCTGTGAGAAGTGAGTTCTCCACGCCCAACCCACGCCTTCGCAGGTCAAGTCTGAACCAAGCTAACGAGAAGTAGAGCGGCGAGAGTAGCAATGTCGTTACTGAAGAACGGTGGATCGGCCGTCGACGCTGTTGAGATGGCCATCATGGTGCTGGAGGATAGTGAGATGACCAACGCTGGCTACGGTAGCAACCTCAATCTTGAAGGCACTGTCGAGTGTGATGCTACTGTTGTCAATCATCTAGGACGCAGTGGTGCTGTGGGTGCCGTCGGTCGTGAGTATCTCATGTCTTTCTCAAACTAATCTGTACGGTCAACTATTCAGTGCTAACGGCCTGGTGTAGAGGTCAAGAATCCCATCTCCCTTGCACGGGTCATCCTTGACGCTTCCTCAAAGCCGCTCTCGCTGGCCCGAGTACCTCCAAACTTCCTAGTGGGACAGGGTGCTACGGATTTTGCGTACGAACACGGGCTGGTGGTGCTACCCCCTGATGGCCTAGTAGCTCCGTCGGCTCGAGAAAGGTGGACTCATTGGAGACGTGATCTGGAAAACGCTACTCTCCGGGAGAGGAAGCAGTCTGGGGAACATACCCGCCTAAGCTCGCACTTTCGCCGACCTCCCACCGCCAGTCCAGCCCAGCTGCTCTCTGCGGCTTCGAGTCCAGGACCAGCCGAGGCGACTGGAGGAAGCACTCAAAGTACCAAGAGCTCACCAACTGCAGACCCACGCCGTATCATGCCGCCGGCAGGTTCGGAGCTAGCACCCTTTGTTGCCCCCAGGGTCAAGGATGGCAAGCAAACCGATGGTGCGCGGTCCGTTGCTGTTGGGGAAATGTCTACAAGTCACGATAACTTGTCTATTGCCGAAGCTCCCCATGGCGTCGACGCAATGGACGTTGATCGAGTCAATGATACCGTCGGTGCCATCGCTATAGACAGTAAAGGAAACATTGCAGCAGGCTCTTCTTCCGGAGGCATTGGAATGAAGCATCGCGGGCGAATCGGCCCTGCTGCGCTTGTTGGCATCGGGACTGCGGTAATCCCCGTGGATCCTAATGATCCAGAGGCAACCTGCATTGCGACTGTTACTTCGGGGACCGGTGAGCACATTGCAACGACCATGGCCGCCAGTACCTGCGCGTCACGCATCTACTATAGCCATCGAAAGCTTGAAGATGGCGGATTCGAAGAGGTCACCGAAGATGAGGCCATGAGAGCGGTTATTTCCAACGATTTCATGGGTACTACTCGCTATCTGCATCCGAACCTTACAAGCTAACAGGTGATTAGGACATCCGGGCGTCAAGAACAGTATCTGTAATGGGGCTATTGGCATCCTTTCGGTCAAGAAGACGGTCGACGGAGCGTTCCTCCACTTCGCCCACAATACCGACTCTTTTGTAAGAAGCCCTGCCTCAGAAAGGTCTATGCTAACTACGTCAGGCCCTCGCATCGATGAGTAGCGTGGATAAGAAACCCGTGTGTGTCATGTCTCGCAATGGCGGGGGCGGCAGGATTGCCCAGGGTGGCCGCGCCTGCAGAGCCAAAAGGTATTTGATAGAAGCTAATATACAGATCAAGCTAAGCTGACAACATCAGACCCAGGGCCCCTAAACCAGCGAAATAGAGCCTGTCCTGCGTCTTCTGTACAATGTGCATCTGCCATCCGTGAGCATTTCAGCGCTTGTTTCCGGGTCCATGACGTTCGCCGACAGAATGATCGAGTGCAGTGCCGGCCACGCTCCGTCCGTTTGGTTGTCGAGTTTCAGCGTACGTCCAGATTGAAGCGATGCCGCACGGGTTCTGGGTATGGATGCAGGGGCGAGTAACTATTTGCTAATTCGAGCCGACGATACCGAATGAACAGTATCCATTGGCAACTCTCGTCCAGTCCATCCATCCCGTAGCCAATACGTAGACGACTTCCTCTTCACGTAGAAAATCCCACGCCCACAAAGATCCTCACGGCCCCGGCGTCGGCGTAGGCGTAGGCGTCCCCGCCGCAGACACTCCATTCCCCTTAACCTTCTTCTTCTTCTTCTTCCTAGCCACCACAGCCGGCTTCGCCCCATAATCACTAACATCCAACCGAGTCCCACAAGTCAAACAAACCCCATCCCCCAACGGCTCACAAAAAATACTCAAACAAATGGAGCACACAAACCCCACATCCACGACCCGTCTATGACAAAAACACGCGGCCCTAAAATCCACATCGACCCTCGTCGGCAGCACCAAATGCCGTCTACTCCTCTGATCCGGCAAAAACGCCATCATCAAGTACTGCAATAAACCCTTCGGCTCATCCAACGCCATATACACCCCCTTGGTCGCATCCGACGCCTGCTGCAGGAACACCGCGTCGCCTGATACCTTGCATACATCAATCGGGATATGAAGTCTTTGGCATGCGAAAATGGCATTCATGATTGGAATGTATTGATGCGCTGAGCCGGTGGAGCTGGATACGGAGAGGATGAGGATGCGCGATTGGAGGGTTGATTCCGCAGTTCCCTTTGTATTTGATGAGGATGTGGATGTGGATGTGGTAGATGATGGGTCGTTGGGGTTGGAGGTGTCGATGTCGCCTCCGTGCGCTTCATTCCATGCCAGTGTGCGTCGGTTGATGTGGCTTAGTGCGAGGGTTAATGCGCCGGCCATCATGGTGGAGGTGGTTGATTGGAGGGTTGAGGGGGTTGTTTGGGTCATTAGGTTGTGTAGGTGGCTGGAGACTTGTTCTTCGACGATCCGGAAGGGTCGGTATTTGTTGATGTTCGTTGTGGTGGTTGTTGTGTTGGAGGGGGGTTGTGGTTGTTGGGTGGGCATGGGAATGTCGCCGTCGGGGTCGAGGTTGTTATTGTTGTTGGAGGGGGATTTTTCGACTGGGTATAGCCATGTTGCTTGGGAGGTGTGGGAGGATACTACGGCCACTTCGTTGGCGTAGTTGCTGGCTAGGTGGGCGTTGATGAAGACGAGGATGTTGGCGATGGCGGTGGAGAGGGGGAGGGTTGGGGATAGGAGCGCCCAGGCGTGGGGGTTTGTGTCGAGGATGATGGTTAGGAGGGAGGGGGGGCGGTCTGTTATTTTTGTATATTGTTGTTAGTTTGGGGAGATGATATCTTGGGATTGGGATTGGGGTACGGGATCGGGATCGGCGGAGTGGGATGGGATGGGATTGGGGTGGTGGACGTACCGTGCGCGCTGGTTTCGTAGTGTTCTGTTGCGTCGATGGTGTTCATCTTGTGTATATATATATGTGTGTATGTGTGTGTTTAATGTGGGAGATTGAGGCACGGAAGGTCAGATCTGGAGCTGTTGGTTGGTATCTAAGCTGTATACATTGTCGTGTGGAGGTGAGCTCCGAGGTGTATGCGGTGCGGAGTTGGCTCGAAGCTTCAATTTTGCGTGGTGGTTGTGTGATTGCGGGTATAATGGTATAATTTCACAAGGGGTTTTCAGGACAAGCTGTCTATTTTAATATGTGAAGAAGCTGCGCTCGATGGCCGGTGAGGTGGAAATGACCGATCGAGAAGTTTTTGTAGAAGAGATGCGATTACTTTGGACGCCGCACGGAGCTGGAAGATCTCCGGCCCACGTGATCTATACTGCGGAATGTACCGATACAAGGAGCCTACATTTTCAGGCACAAAGTAACCAACAAACTAATAACAATATGCATTCAACTATGTCATCCAAATTCTAACAAATGGTAAATCACGCTCTATTTATCGAGGGTTAGATGTGATGGCCTCCGGCCTCACATGTAGATGGTCATCTTTCTGCTCCGTGTGGTTCAATACAGGAACGTTGAGTGACTCCTTGAGAGAACCAGACGTCGCTCTGGCCAGAGGACTAGGCTG